AAAAAAAAAAAAAAAAAAATCAGTGATTTAACTTTGGTTGCATGTTTGAGTCACCTGGGGCGCCTTCAGAAATCCTGATGCCCAGGTGGCAACCCAGACCAGTAAAACCCGTCTGTGGCCGTAGGACCTGGGCAGGCAGCCGTAACCCCCTAAGTAAGTTCCATGTGCAACTAAGGAGAACCACTCACTGTTATGGAAAAAGGTTAGCCGACTGAGCTCAGGTGACACATACTGTCCTACGTTAGACCATAAGGGCTTCACCACCAGGTACTTTACCTGTAAGGGGGCCTGCGTTTCTCCCCGGCATACTGGAAGAGATCATCAGTGAAAAACTTGGGCACCTTGTAGTCTTCCAAAAGTTTCCTTCTTTTGGGGTGTTCACCATAGCTGCTGTCAAAGATGTAAAGGGGGCTGTCGTCCCGAGTGCTCTCCATGTACTCAATGTAGTATTTCATCTTCATCTTCACGGAGTAGCCGTCATTATCCTCACCACACTTGAATTTCTGGTTCCGGTACTTCCTTTTTAGGCGCTCCAGGGTCCATTTCTCCTGGGCAGACCAACCCTCTTGGGCATTCAGCAGAACCACGGGCTTGTATGGTCTTTCATATCGCTCCACAAATTCTTCCACAGACAGCTGTAATGCGTCTGCCCTTTCCACGTTATCCTGAAAGAATCAGAAAAGACCTATCCAGTTAATTAAAAAAAAAAAAAAAAAAAGTCCAGCGGCAGCAAAAGGCGTCCCCCAGGACCAGTTAAGGACATACCTTAAGACATACCTAAGGAACCATATTCTCGTTCTGTCTTATCTTTGGGGGGTGGGGGGGAGAGGGACAAGGACCTGCGTGTGGACTGACACGTCGCACCCTGCGCCGCCCCACCAGGGGAAGGGGGCTTCGCATCTCCCACTCATGGGCCTCCACAGTCAAGGCCCCGGGGGCCCCACAGCGCAAAGGGGTCAAGGGGCGACAGTCCTCCTTGTGGATCTCGCCAAAGGCGTCAGCCTCCAGGTGGCCGGGCAGGCGGCAGCTGCGGCGCGGGAGGAAGGAGGCCCGCCCTGAAATCCGGGCACCGATGACCCGGACCTCCGCGGGGTGCGAGTGAGCCCATCGGAACTCAGAGGTGCCGCGCTGGGCGCTGGGGGAAGTGCGCATGAGCCCGGAGATGCCCATGCCCGGCCCCAGCCCGCGACCCCGGCCCACTCACCGCCACGGCCGCAGGGTTCAGCGAGAAGCTCTCGTAGTAGTTGTGACGGGTCCAGTCCAGCGAGTCCTTGAGCTCCGGCCGCGCACTCCGCTTGGCCTCGCGGATCCGCTTCTTGCTCTTGTGGTTCATCCTCCGGGGGTCACCAGCTGCTCCCGCGACGACCTCCGCGCGCCTCGCTTCCTGCTTCCAACGCACCCCCTCCCCGGCCCGGGCAGTGGCTGCGGCGGTGGAGGCGGTGGCGGCGGCGGCACCCAAACGCCCTTCGCTCTGGCCCGGCGCCTTTAAACTCGCCTTCCAGAAAATTCACTCCCCAACCACCTCCCGGGCCTCGGGTTGGGCACGCGGCTGCCGTCTTCCCCGCCCCCCGGCCTGTCGCGGTGAGCCATTGGCTCGGGCACCTCCGGGGTCCGCCCTCACACTCGTCGGCTCTCCGCCATATTGGGAAGGTCGAGATGATCGAGGAGCCGCCTGACTACGGCTCCGCCTCTCCCGCGCCCGCTTCCGGTGTGCGCGTCACTTCCGGGCGTGGGCCGCTTTACGCGCGGCCCGCTTCCGGCGTGCGAGTCTCCGAGGCCGCTTGTCTTCCGTATCTCTTTTCCCTGGTCTCCGGTGTCTTCTCACTGCGCGGCCACGGCGTCGCCGGAAGGGTGCTTTCCCCGCCCTTGCGTCGAGTTGCAGCGACCCGGCAGGGCCGCCAAGGGCCACGTGGCGCCGGTGAGGCGGCCCCAGCCGGCCAGGGGTTTCCCGCGCGCGCAGCCTGGCAGCCCGGCGCTCTTCGCTGTTCCCGGCCCGTCCGGGGGTCCCCGATTCCCCCCTGGGCAAGCGTGGCCTCCGAGGGCATGAGGTCCGGGCCCAGCGCTTTCGGTTCTTGGAGGAGCCTGGCCTGGGGGCCGAGGGGGCCGTACTGGAGGTCAGCGTCCCGCAGGTGCGTGCGGCGGGAGGTGCCTCCGGTACTTTGCGGTGGCGCCCCGGGCAGGAGCCGTTCCCAGCAGACCTGGGGGTGTTGGGAGGGGTGGGGGCGGGGTTTGGCGACTACCCTGTCTTAGGATGGACCTCCGGGCGGCAAGGTTTGTGGCCTGAAGGGGCCCTGCCAGGAAAAGGGCCTTCCACATCGAATATATCCTGCCGGAAAGGTGGCATTTTTAACACCAAATATTTTCTTTGATTTTGAAGGGCTTCTTAATTCAGCTTTATCCAGGACCGGGGATTCCACTCTCCCTTTTCAAATAAAGTTTCTTGGGTTGGCACTCATTTGTTCTTTTCAGCTCACGGCTGTCCCCAAACTCTCACAAATAGTAGAAGTAATACGTTATGCGTCCGGTTTTTCAAAGCCCTTGGACGTTGCAGTGTTTCGATTTTAACAGCAGTCTGTGAGGTAGGTATTAGCAAAAATAATTTGAAGATGAAAAACCGCCTAAGAGGAAGTTAAGTCTCCAGTGAAACCCATTTCTGATAGTTTTTAAATGCCTTCGTGTTGAAATACCCACCGGGACTTCTTCCCAAGTTTAGGAGGTGAAGATACTCCCTGTGAGAACAAAGACCCCTTTACAGCCAAATCTGCAAACTCACTCACTGCTCTGGTCAGAAATCCTTTATTGTATCCTGGGTAAAATCCACCAGGCAGGCATTTTATTCACGCTGCACTCCCTACACTTAGAACCAGTGCCTAGGCACTAATACTTTTGTTGAGTGAATTGAATGATTGAGTTCACACTTTCAGTTCCTTCACCTTTGATACTTACACCACTTCAGCCCCCTTTCCAACCAGTCCACTAGCAGCACCCTCTGCTCTAGAAAACAGAAAGACTTGCACTCTTGCAGTTTAATGACAGCTTGCTTTGCTTATTTTGTGTCGGGCGTTGTACTAAGCAGTTTGCATTGAGTCTTCCAAGTCACCCTATGAGATAGGCTTTTTGCAGGTGAGGAAACTGAAGCACAGACAGGTTAAATAATGGGTGAGGTCACACAGCTAGTAAGTTACACAGCCAGCATTTGAACTCAGGCAGGTTCATTCCAAAGGTGTGAGTCCTTATTTTGCCTCCCTGAATACTGTGCTCTCACAATTCTGTATCTTTCCAAAGGCTCTGTAAGCTGCCTGCCTTCCTAATTCCAGGACTGAGCTGCACTCAAACTTCTGGAATGTCTTCCTGGACTCAATTGATTCCCATAAGCATACCAAGTTATGCCTGTGAATATAACCCTCTGATACATTCTTAACTGCACTTACAATAAAAGCTAAACTTCCTGTGGCCTACAAGACCCCACAGGTCTGTCCCTGCCTTCCCACTGACCTCTGTACTACAACCCTGCCTCCCAGCCCCCATGCCCCTGCGGTCAGTGCCCTCTGTGGTCCAGCCAGAGGCTTTTTAGTTCCTGCTTCAGGACCCTTGCCTGAATCATTCGCCCTATCTAGGACAGCCACCTTGTGGTCACTGTCTCCCCACGTCTCCCTGCCCCCACTACTCTCTCACATCACCTGCTGTTGTTAGCATTATCACCAACTAAAAATATATTTGCTTACTTGTGGCTTGTCTTTTTCCCAGTAGGGTATGTATGTGTGTGTGTATGTGTATTCCATGATAACCTAGTTACATCCTTAGCCATTCAGTCCCTGGGTAAATGCTTGTTGAGTGCAGGAGTGTATGAAGAGTGCTTATCACACGGTATTGCAGTTTTATATACCCCATGGGATGTGAACTGGACAGCAGGGAACTGTCCTTTTTGTCCAGTGTCGGGCACTCTAATTGCTGTAAAAATATATACTCCCAACTGCCAGCAGATGAGTTATTTTTGGCATACAAAAAATTCTTTTCAGGTGCTGCATCTGCAGTATGGAATGTATGTTTGGCCCTGTGCGGTGGTCCTGGCTCAGTACCTGTGGTTTCACAGAAGATCTCTGCCGGGCAAGGCTGTCTTAGAGGTACAAGTGCCCTTGAGGTTTCCTAAAATGCTCTGTTCAGATTTAAGTCTACGTGCTTGTTACTGACTTTTGTTAAATATTTTTAAATCGGGTGATTTGGCCAGCTTGTAAGTCATGTGAGCTAAGAATGCTTTTTACATTTTAAGTTGTTTAAAAAAAGAACACGCACCAGAGACCACAGGAGTCCCATCGAGACTAAAATATCGCCTTGCCCTTTATGTTATGCTGACCCTTATTCTAAGTGAAGCCCATTGACTAATTATAGTTATAGAATCTTGGCATGGAAGCAATCATTAAGACCATCTTTCCAGGGTGTCCCAACAGGGTCATCCGGAGTCTAGTGTGTCACATGCAGTTTTTCATACAATAGCCCTTTCCATATTTTGGAAATCTTGAGAGTATCCCAAACTCTTTCTCATCACTCCACCTGACATGAGACTGCTAAACACTTGGAGAAATAAACTTTTTGTCAAGTTTGCAGAAATGGTACAAGGCTTAAATCTGAAGGCCGAGGACAAACCCAAAACTTAGTAACACCTCTTTAACTTTTGCAAAACCACGTGAGGGGTGTGAAGATATGTGGCATCCTTCTGGCCCTGAACAGTGGCAATTTGTAGACATTCAGAAAAGATTGAGAATCTCCCAAGCTCTTGCTCAGAACTGGAAAATGGGAAACTTGTTTTAAAATACAAGGCATTCCTTGGTTAGTCCTTAGCCTGCTTAAGACCTTGTCATTTGGAAGGCCCAACTGGAAAATCCCCTTTGTAGAAAGCCATGTTTCAGACCTGTCAGGTTATAGCCACATAAAAGCAGTAAAAATTGGTAGTAACAGCCATAATGGCCAGGTGTGCAGTCAAGTCACCCATCAAGCTTCTAGAGACCCAATGTCCTGTATAATTAGGAGCTCCCTTATAGACTGTTAAGAACAAGTGTCCCAAACTACCTTGGGCATATTAAGCAATTAAGTCGCTGGATACACAGGAGTTTGGAAGCACCTAAGTCAGTTGCAGAGTACAGGGCCCTGTACGGGACTTAACCTTCCCACCCAATTAAGAGGAATCTCAAGTAATTTCTACAAATTGAAGAGCTTAAGCTTCATATAGTAAAGCACTGCAATTGTGGCACATTTTGTAGATATGAGCAGCTCATGATGGACTGTACTTAGGGAAACTTAAGTTCCCAAATTCCCTGCAATCCTAAGAACTTTGAAATGCTTTTAGATTGGAGCTGGAGTGAGCCTTCCAGGAATTATGGCTGCAAAATGCGGTGCTGAAGTGATCTTGTCAGACAGTTCAGAGCTGCCTTACTGTCTAGAAATCTGTCGGAAAAGCTGTGAAATGAATAACCTGCCACAGGTGCGTGTCGTAGGACTGACATGGGGACATGTATCTCAGGATCTTCTGGCTCTACCACCTCAAGATATTATTCTTGCATCTGATGTGTTCTTTGAACCAGAAGGTAAAACTTTTTTGGTCAATAATAACTTTGGTTGGAGAGAGGATATAAGTAGAAGTCCATTTAAGGAGTCCTTTCTTACCAGATTTTGAAGACATCTTAACTACAGTCTACTTTTTGATGGAAAAAAACCCCAAAGTCCAATTGTGGTCCACCTACCAGGTAAGAAGGTAAGCCTGAATAAATCTGGTCTACTCAGTTTTATTAAAACTCAAATCCTGGGCACCTGGGTGGCTCAGTTGGTTAAGCAACTGCCTTCGGCTCAGGTCATGATCCTGGAGTCCCTGGATCGAGTCCCGCATTGGGCTCCCTGCTCGGCAGGGAGTCTGCTTCGTCCTCTGACCCTATCCCCTCTCATGTGTTCTCTCTCTCTCAAATAAATAAATAAAATCTTTAAAAAAAAAACAACTTAAATCCTAATCCTCATGCAATATCTACTTTAAGGATAAAATGAAAATGTATGTGAAGCAAAACAGGAAAAGCATGATTTTAAAAAAACAATTTATTTTTTTTTCAGTGCTGACTGGTCACTTGAAGCTTTGCTCTACAAGTGGGATATGAAATGTGTCCACATTCCTCTGGAGTCTTTTGATGCAGACAAAGAAGATATAGCAGAATCTGCCCTCCCAGGAAGACATACTGTTGAAATGCTGGTCATCTCCTTTGCAAAGGACAGTCTCTGAATTACACCTACATACAGGTTCTTCTGGGACAATGTCAATACTAATTAGCAACCTGGCATGCCAACTAAGACTCAGACCACTTCAGCTTCTTGGGAGTACAAGCACTGAATCTGAAGATGGTCTGATCTGTTGGCCTTAAAGATGGTGGTGGGTCACCTAAACACTCATGGGTTACAAAGCCATGAAAACAAAAATTAACAGACCTGTTAAAAAAAAAAAAAAAGGGGGGACTTGGATTGTTCTTTAGAAAAAAAAATAAAAAACGGCATAAATTAAGCTGAGAGACAGGGGTACCCAGAACCTCAAGAAAGTGCTACCTTAAGAGCATTGATTTTAGGGGTTATGGGTGCTGAAATGGCATTTCCACTTTTTAACTTAGAAAAAAAGTCAACTACTAAACATTTCACTTTCATACTGTACAGTCAGTAACAATTCACAAGGTAATTGCACAGGTCTTTCAAATAAAGGGGGGGAAAAAGACCAAGACATATTCTGAGAAAAGCTAACACCAAGAAAACGTTTTAATTAAACTACAGAAACAATGGTTATAGTACAGAATTTTCATGAGCAAAAAGATACACCATGTTATAAGTACTTACAAAGTTACAAACCATTTTGCTTCCTTAACATTTTCCATATTTTAAGTTCATACATGAAGATGATCAGATATACCATTTTGGGGGAAGGGGGAAAAAAAGGTGTATTTATCATCAGCTAGATGTGCTCACTGTATGCTCCGTTATTTATATGCAAGGCCCGGGTGACTGGAAGTGCAGTTGTCAGGCATTTTAATAAACTGGACAGCCATTTGTTTCTGCACGACAAGGCATCTTTACACAGGAGCAATCAGGAGAAAACAGGAAACAGCCAAGCACTCTGCACTGCAACACGCCACCTTAACAGCTAACCAGCATTACTCAACTGCTACACAACTGCGCCTAGTGCACAAAAATACACAAGAGAAGAGATTAGAATTGTGTTTGGTAAACAATCCTTTTCAAAAAATCAAGTCTTTTCACCTGAAAAGTCTTTATACAAATTTGGATTCAGATTACCACTTAGATCTGAAGGTAAATAGCATATACAAACAAATTTACACCGACTTTTGTAGGTTTTTAATTTTAAGGAATGAAGGCAATGTTGAGTCAATCTCTTGACAGCTTTAGGCTGTGTGTAATGGCTGCACACGTTTCCTTAAAAGTCAGGAGGCCACAAATTAGGTTACCAATCTGTTTAATTTCAAACAAAAAAAGTCAGCACTATATAAACAAAAAGGAAAATTTACCTCAAATATCCAAGCCAATAATGAAATCTGAAGTCGTTCACCTCACTAAATTACAAGAAATTTGAATAACAGCAACAAAATGGCACATAAAATGAAGTTTGCCACCTGAGGCAAAGCTTAAAACAAGTAAAAAGTTAGACAAATGTTACAAAATAACCTTTTCAATAGCCAGTTGCTTGTTCCAAGGACTCTTCGATGGACTGAGTGTGTGGTCCTTTTCCCCCAAGTCTTCTGTTATGTTGCTTGTTGACCCATCTAGGTTTGAAAAGAAAAAAGTTCAGTTTACCTTCCATTACAATGAAGTTACCGAAAGTGCACATGGTTTCAGTTTCAGGCATGTACTTACTAAGGCTCTGGTGAAACAAGTAGGTTACGGAAAGGTTCCACCCAGCCATTATCAGTTTTATAAAGGCCCAATTAGGAAATTTTCACAGAGGCTACCATCCGCTTTTACAAATTTGTGTTTATGCAATCTTGGCCAAATAACCAAGGTGAAAAATGATATGAGGAAGGGAAAAAGGGGCGGGGAGGGGAAAAGGACGGTATCCAAACAAAAACAACTTGAAATCAGAAAATCAGTCTATTTTAAGATAAATTTTTAGTTCTCAAACGAAACATTTGGCAATTGAGAATAAAGCTTTAATATCTGAGCTACTTAGGGCCCTTTCCTTTTAAAAAATAGGACCAAACAATTTGAGAGTTAAAGACACACTATCCTTTCCCCACCCAGTGCAATACCTGTAAACTTTTTTGGGGTTCCAAAAGTTCATTGCTTCTTTTTGCAATTCGTTTGCCACATCCATTAGAATATGAAGTCCCAGTCAGTACAACAATAGTTGAACTGATCGTTTTCTCTAAGAGGATAGTGCATCTTTAACATTTAAAGACAAACCTGCTCCAATACACGCCCACAGAAACTGGTCCCTGGAGGATCAGCCAAATCAGTTAAAATCTGCAATACTGGCCAATATTCTTTTATCAAACAGGAGACCGCAGCTTTAAAGGGGAAAATGCAGACGTTGGATAAAAACAGCAAGAAATAGTCATTTTCATTAATAGGTCTCAAACAGTTTACGAAACAGCCATTATTATCTAAGCTTTATGCACATCCTTTCTGCAGACCCCTCTCGTATTACTCCCAAAGCTGAGTTAGCTCACAGCCGCACTCCCGACATCAGGAGCCACTTTTATATTAACACGGATCATAACAAGCTCCTGCAAACCCCATCTCTGAGTTCGGGTCATGTGTCTCGGATCCCCACTGACATTACCATTCGCTTAAGAGGACACCGCTCCTTCTTCCTCGGGAGACTTGGGGGGGCTCTTGGAGCGCGACCTGGACTTGGACTCCCTCTTGGACACGGGCGGAGGGCTCCTGGACCGGGACCGGGACCTGGAGCGCGAGCGAGACCTGGACACCGACGAGGACTTGGACTTGGACCTCCGCGCCGACCTGGACTTCGACGTGGATCGCGACCTCGAGCGAGTGCGGGAGCGAGACTTGGAGCGGCTGTAGCGGGAGCGACTGCGGGACCTGGACCGGCTCCGACTCCGGGAGCGGCTACGACGGCGCCGCCGAGGGCTGAGGGCGGACGGGCCGGGCGTCAGAGCGGCCATCGGGGCCCGAGGGCCGCGCCCCGCCCGCGTGCTGCG